TCTTATCTTGTTGAAGTCAGCCCTCCTGAAGTCAAGGACTTTTGCCTTACTGCTTGCTTTCATCACCCTGTGCCAGATAGTAAATTCCAGCAGATGATGGTCACTAACACCTACGTAGTCAAGCACCTGCAGATCCTTCACCAGGTCATCACCTGTGGGAAAGACCAAGTCCAGCAAGGCATTTCCTCTGGTAGGATTGTGTACCTCCTGGGTTAGGTGGAGGTCCTGTACGCAGGCTAAAAGCCTACGTGAATGTTCAGACCTGGCTGACTGATCTTCCCAGCAGATGTCTGGGTAGTTTAGGTCACCTATGACAACCACATCCCTTGTCCTTACAGCCTCCATGAGTTGGCCTGAAAATTCCAGGTCCAGCTCATCCCCCTGGTGAGGCAGTCTCTAGTAGATGCCCACTATCAAATCCCTTTCCCCACGACCCCCTTGCATTCTTACCCAGAGCACTTCAGTTTGCCTCTCTTCTGAACCCATTCTGATCATCAAGGTGTACTGCTCTTTAACATAGAGTGCTACACCCTGCTCCCTTTTTCCCTACTCTATCCCATCTATACAACCTATAGCCCTCGATGTCTACTGCCCAGTCGTGGGTAGAATCCCACCAGGTTTCTGTAAGCCCAACCAGGTCTGGGTTTTTGCTAGCTAGCAGGAGGGCAAGTTCCTCCTGCATATTTCCCATACTTCTAGCATTTGTGTAGAGGCAATTGAGACCTCCTATGGGTGTCCATGCTGCCCTCTTGTTCCCAAGCTTGCCTGGGCCCTTGTCACTTACCTGGGTTGTTCTTACTCCCGTCACCTGGCTTGATGTCGAAGTGTCCTCCTGCACCTCTGCATCCCCACCCCCCGATGAACCTAGTCTAAAGCTCACCATATGAGATCAGCCAACCTAGAAGAAAACACAATGATCCCCCTCCACTCCAACAAGAATTTCTCCCCTATCACTTCACTCACCCCTACTTCACCCAACCACAACTTGAACTCAGATCTCCCACATAGCAGGCAGAAACTCTACCACACAGACACCACTGCTTATTAAGCTAGATGACTAGTTGGACTAGATGACCTCATGAAGTCCCTTCAAACCCTAATTTTCTATGATTCAAAGAGAATAATACATTTTTTCATTATTCAATATAAAGTATGTTACCTTCAGTATTAATAGTCTGGTGCAGAATAGACAAAAAAGAATGTCAGCTGGAAATGACACAGATTACTACCAGAACTGACTTTATGAATATCTACTCTAAAATGTGAACTAATAGTTGTAATCAATAATTCAAAGTATAGAAAAATATTATTAATGATTTGTGGCAGAGGTGATATCTTTTATTAGACCAAGTAGATATTTGCAAAAAAATTTTTTTTATTTGCAAGCTTTTGGGGGCGCACACCCTTCCTCAGGCATAGCAGAATGCAAGAGTGTAAATTTTCTGCCAGGTGGAAATGAAAGCTTGCAATTAAATTTTTTTTTTTTTTGCAAATATCTACTTGGTCTAATAAAAGATATCACCTATGCCACGAGTTCTGATTTCTTGTGCCTGTAGCCCAATACAGCTACAAACTGTAGCCCTGAAAAATATCATTGTAAATTTAGACAATTAAGCAGCACTTTTATAGTTCATTCATAGTTTGTAGGTTCTTTAGGTGTTCATATATCTATTCATAAAAAATATTGCTTTATTAAATAATTTTTAAATACAGAATAAAAGAGTAGTTATTAAACAGTAAGGATGAAGATGGTGATAGTGATGTTAACAGTATAAAGGCATTAGACATATTTCATCCCAGGAATAATATTTATAATTAAATGCACTTTGAAATAACCTTTTTGATGTTCATGAACTTTCAATATTTTATGGTGAATTATTCTGAATGTTTAAAATTGGTCCGCAGTATTTTACCAATAATGTATACAAGTGTGGTTGTAACTTTACAGCCTTGAATTTACAGGATCATTTAATTTAACCCCGTGAACTTAAGCTTCATAAGACAATTTACTGCTTCAGTGCTTTGTCTTTTAGGTCCTTGGCAGATGTTACATTTTATTGCATGATTAATGCAAGTTTTGCATGTTAAATGGTAACATGCCAGATGCTGAAGCAATTTATCTCATAATAAAAATGGCAAATCCATTCCAAAATGGAGACCCTGCCTCAGAGTTACTTGTTGAAAGTGGAACTTTTCTGGTGCATAGAGCACATTAATTTTAACACCTTGAAAGTTATAAATAGCTCAGTTGGGCTTGGCTAGGTCCTATAGAATCCAAGAGTGCACTGCTTGCTAGGCCCTTCCCTATGCCTGGGCTGCAAGGAGACTATGACTCATGCTAAACTCTGTTGCCCCAGGCTGCAGCAGCAGATCACACATGTGAATGCACCCAATTGCTGGCCAGACAGAAGGGAACATAACAGCTCACATGTGCATAAGTACTGCTGCAAACTTGCTCAATAGCAGCTTTCAGAAGCTTCGTGTGATGAGCCACCTGCAGCCAGAACAAGAATGTCTGCAACCACACCTTTCTGTTTAGCCTCCAGGCAAGCAACTGAGAGGTGCATAACCTTATTGCAATATGTGGTGAAAAAGAAAAGCAGCGCTGCCTGAGGATGGCTTCCTGGAACAGTGTCATCTTTGAGAAGTATGGGGCACGGGCGACTGGTGCCCCCTTAGTCAGGAGGGCACGTGCCCTCCCCACAGCCAATGTCACTGGTGGGGGGTGGGGTCCCCCCGTGGCTGATCTCGCTGATCAGGGTGGGGGGTCCTATGGCTGATTGCGAGATGGCCGATCTCTAGCCACTTCTGGAAGTGGCGCTCCACTCCCTGGCTGGCGCTTGCAGGGTGGGGGCACTGGTGCTCCCACCTGCCCCCCCTACTCATCACTTAAGTAGTGATTGTGGCTGGTCAGGGGGTGCACCAGCACTTTCAGGGGGTGCACATGCACCCCAGTGTACCCCCTGTATTGCCACTGGTATGGGGTTATAGTTTACATTGGCGCCAGGTCTAGTTGAAGACAAACATCTTCAGGGCTCAGTAAAAGCAGTCACATGATGCCAAACATCTGGTGTTTGGAGGATGATGACATCCTACTATGTGGAGCTTTCCCACATCTTCTCAGGGCACCTTTTTGGTTGAGCCCTAGTGGACTTATGACGCTGCTGTGTCTGTTGAGGGTGACAAGAAATCTAGTCCCTCTGAGGGGGTAGAGGAGGACAAAGGCCACTCTTCCCAGGCACCAACTTCCCCTGAGAGGGCATTGGAGGAGCCTGAACACCTGGGAATGTCTGAGGACAACCTGTTTGGGATCAAGGAGCCAAAGAAGCAGCAGTCTGAAACAGAGGAAATCTCTGACAAGACTCTCATTGAGCCCTCCCAGATCCCTTGGATGACACCCACCATGATGTCCTCCACCTTCTGGTAACCCTGGCATCACTTTATTGCTGCACTGTGCCCTGTGCATTGCACGTCACTGGTGACCAGGGAGTCTGTGACTAGGGAGCCAGCAAACAGGACTGCAAACAGGGGAAACAATTTGCAGGCCAGTTTGTGGGTAGTAGCATAGTCTATTAACTCACAATTGCTCTCAGCCACGGCAGTGACTCGCTATATCTGCAGGCATCCCGGCATCGCTGAGACCTTCACCCAGAAAGAGCCTGGGGCCCCGGACTGAGGGGGCTTCCTGGCATGGTTGCCGGCAACTGAGGCACTTGTGGGGTGTCCTTCCTGGTGGAGTCTCTGGAGGGCCGGGTGCAGGAGCTCAAGGAGGAGATGCATCAGCTGCACACCATCAGGGCCCATGAAGACTTCACTGATGGCTACTGCCAGGCCCATCTCCAGATGAAGAAGAGAAAGAGATAGAGATGGTGGCCAGCATGATGACTAACCAAGAAGACCCACCTGCAGTGACCTGGAAGACAGTTACCTCACACTCCAGGAAATAGAGAGCAGCTCCTCCCCTGTCCCTATGCAACAGGTATGCTCCCCTCCCCACACATGAGGACATTTCAATGGTGATACCAGAAGAGGAGGAAGGTAAGCAGCTTGCTGTCACCTCCAAGAGGAGGCACAACGTGGCGGTAGTTGGAGACTCCCTCCTGTGGGGCACTGAGGGACCTATCTGCCATCCAGACCCCATAGCCCATGAGGTCTGCTGCCTCCCAGGGGCTCGCATCCAAGACGTAGTAGAGAAGCTCCCCAGGTTTGTCTGGCCCTTCGACTACTGCCCCATGCTCCTCATCCATGTGGGAACTAATGACATGGCCAGGAGTAATCCAGACTGGGTCATGGGCAACTACAGGGCTCTAGGGGCTGGGCTCAAGAGATTGGGGCCCCAGGTAGTCTTTTCTTCTGTGCTCCCTGTTTCAGGCCTCAGTCCCAGAAGGGAAGGATGCATTGAGGAAGTGAACTGGTGACTCTGATGCTGGTGCCACTGAGAAGGCTTCAGATTCCTTGACCCGGCTTCACAGTATGCACTTCAGGGAGAGAGGACTCCTGGGAAGGGATGGCATCCACCACATGAGGAAAGGTAAGTCCCTGTTCGTGGCCAGGATGGCCGATCTTCTGGACAGGGCTTTGAATTAAGATTGATGGGGGACGGGGATACACAAATTCAAACATGTCCAGGGACCAACAAACAAGTATATAGGGACACTTGGGGAGCCCCCCCCTCCACTTGGGGCAGGGGGGAGCTCTGCCATGAGCCCCCAGGGGCCTCGACAGCTGCTGCAGCAGCTGGTGAGTACGGGGCTTTCTGTTTTGTTTTTTAAGTGCCAGAACGCTGTGGCCAGCAGAGCAGCCATTGATGGGGCTGAGAGAGTGGGTGGGGGTTGGAGGATACTCAGGGGGGCTGAGGGAGCAGGCAGGGGATGGGGCCTGGTGGGGGTCCCCCCATGCCTCCCCCCACACTTACTGGCACCGAGCCTGGGTCCAGCTCCCTGCAGCAGCAAGGGGAGACTGCCAGAATCTCTGAATCTTTTCCAAATCAATTTGGAGGCTTCAAATCCATTTGGACCTTTTAATTGGTCTCCTGATTTGATTCGGATTTGGCCACCAAATCGGGCCAAATCTCCTCCAAATCAAATCAGCAACTGAAGCTTTGAACAATCCTAGCACTTACCTTTGGAAGTCCAGGAGTGACAACATGACTAGAACTGTCTCTCTCAAACTGGCTTTTATGCAGGTGTTGCTTCCCTCACATCAAGAGTTGCTTCTGATTTACCCATCAGTCTCCTCTTGTACCAGATTAAGTTTAATCATATTCTACAGAATATGCACTGTATAACAGCACCATCATCAGTACCCAACTGCTTAACTTTGGCTTTTCACATCCACTTAGGAATAAAATTATAATTTCATAAAGGAGAGGAAATAATATTGCTTAAACACCAGCAGCATAAATTAAGTACAAAACCACATTTTCTTTAAATATTAAACACTTGTTGGCTCGTTAAGAGCCACATTAACATAGCTCTGCTCAATGCTCCTGGCAGGGGGCAATGAGGGAGATGTGAGAACTGCATACCAGGAAAAGCAAATTACATAAGGAAGAAAAGATGTGGGATCAACCTAGACTTCTAATTTCAGAGTTTCTTCAGTCTGAAATGAACCCATCATCTGGGACAAAGGGGCAAAGACATCAGCTTTGTGAAGCTGGCAAACCTCATATTTGTCTGCATAGAGTAATGTACTTTTTATCTGTATACAAACACCCATTCAAAATTGTGGACTGTAAGTGTGAAGTCTTTGAAAATGTTCAGGTTTTTTTCCCCTTGTAAATGCAGTCTTATCTTGAATGAGAACTCTGTCGTGCTGGGCACTCCTGCTTTGAACAAAAGATATCCCACTGTGCAGGGTCTTCAGGTGATACAGGAATACCAGAGGCAACTAAATCTTCAAAAGTCAACACAGTGAACTGTGGCTGTGTCAGTTCTGTAGAAAGAACCTAAGGAGAATACAGTTTGGATTAGACAGTTGAACCAATTTAATTATTCTTCCTTTGTTTACCTGCTGTCCTCCACTCCTCACTCAGTTCAAACTGTTCTAACTACCAACAAGAATAAAAGGTTGAGATTCGCAGTAATATGAACCTTATCTTATCTGTACTGTCCTACAGAGGAAGAGCAATAGGGCAATCAAGACAGTCTTGAAGATTTAGGGCCAGATTCTATTCTAACTATGCAAATCTATTCTATCTTGAGTCTGTGGAAAAATTTTTAACAGGCTTACTTTTATAACATATCATCTTAGTCTTAAATCTAAAATAACAAAATGCACTGAGTAGAAGGACTCATTAAGTTCTTGCATTAACTGTTTTCTGGGGGGACTTAAGTAGTGAAAAAGGATTTGGTCCTTGAATTCTGGTGTAAGAAATGAAGGGACAAAAAGAATGCCAGAATGAGGAAGTTATGCATTCTACAGTAAATATGGTGCTTTGAAATAACGTTGCCACAGTGTGGATGCGTGAACCCTGAAAAAGCATGGGAGACCAGATCAATTTGAACAGCAGCAACCGCTGGAGTTACGCATGAGGTCTTTGCCTCCTTGTTCTTATATAAGAAAACATAAGGGATGAGCTGGCTATGATCTTCCCCCAATTCCACTGCTCCTTGAATACCACAATAACTGTGGGCTACAAAAGCATATGTGGGATACAACTGTTTCTTAGAAGGCAAGTTGTTGGTCAGTATCTCAAAAAAAACCTTTTATTTTTTTTGATTATGTGTCTGTGGATTTGACCGTAAGTGACTTCCAAGTAATGCCTTTCCTGAGTGGTAAGATGGACAGTATTAGCTACATCAAACAAGGATGGCCTGGCTCTATTAAAATTTGGCATCTGCTCTGGCAGCAGACTCCAATAACTATTGCTTGACAAAATTCTGTGATGTTACTCTGGATTACTGCCTTGTACCTCCACATATGGGTACATTTTTTATGCAAACAGAGGATGCTGTTTGAACTTTGGTGGAGCGAGCCTTGACATCTGGTGGAGCAACCAACTGATATTACCAGTGAGAAAGTTTACTACCCACTGAGCCATTTTGAATGGCTGCCTTTAGCTACAAATACATGGAGGAGCACATTATTGTTTTTTCTGGCAGTATAATATAGCAAAATTTTGGAAATATCCAGCATATGTATAGTAAATATTTCTCTCCCTGTGAGAAGTGGCGTTTCCAAAAAAAGATAGGCAGTAAGGCTGTGCGAAATAACACCATTTAGTCTCGACTTCTGTTTCAAAGGAACACTGCTCTGTTTTGTTTAATCGAAACTGTTTAGCTGTTTTGACGTTTTGCCCATAGACTATAATGGGGAATCATGAAGATGCCTATAACTTTGTCATTTCTTGCCTGATTTGGATGAAAATAGTAGGGATAGTAGCCCCTTCTGAGGCCATAAAGCTTGCCACGTTTCAAGGAGATAGGTGCAGGGGTTTATGGGAAACTATACCTCAAACTGTTCAAACCAAAACTCATACCACATGCCAGCAGCGGAAGCCTGTAGGGTTGTGATGGATTCTTCCCAGGGGCCACAGGTCCCCAGATCTGTATGTGGGATGACAGCATGCTGCCGCTGCCAGTTGGGGGCAAAGCCAGCACCTGTGTTTGCTCGGCACACCTTGTGCCGAGTGCCAGGAAGAACCCAGCACTGGCGCTGGCCCCAGCTGGTAGCAGCAGCCTGCTGTCATCCCACACACAGATCCGGGGGGACGGGCCCTTGGATCTGCGCACAGCATGGGGTTCTTCCTGGCTCTAAGTGTGGGCTGTCATCCTGCATCATCTGGGGGCCTGTACCCCCCCGGGAAAAGCTGGGGGAAGCAATCAGAGAGCTGGAGAATCGAACAGGAAGCTAGACGTCAATATCACAGCAATCCTTCCCCCTCCCTCTTCTACTTTCTGTTTAGCTGCAGCAAGCCTGGTTTTGAAACTTGAAATGTTTCAAAACTTTCCAAGTGTCCTTGTTTACTTTTGAAGCTGTTTTGAAGCCTTTTGTTTCATATTGATTTCAGTGTTGAGCTGAAAATGCATCAAACCAGCTTCAAAATGAAACACCTGTTAACCAGCTCTAACTTGCAGGTTAATTAATTGATGCAAATGGGATCGTGGGGTAGGCTTGGTGGAAGTGAATAGAAGGTCAGAAGGCGTCAGATGCAACAAATAGTCCAGGACCCAGGGTAGTATGACTAGCATAAGGTCCAGATCCTGATCATAGAAAGTTAGGGTTGGAAGGGACCTCAGGAGGTCATTTAGTCTAACCTCCTGCTCAGAGCAGGATCATCCCCAACTACATCATCCTAGCCAAAGCATTGTCTAGACAGGTTTTGAAAACCTTCAAGGATGGAGACTGCACCACCTCTCTGGGTAAAGTGATCCAGTGGTTTACTACCCTCCTAGTGAAAAGGTTCTTCCTAATATCTAAAATAAACTTCCCTTGCTGCAACCTGAGACTGTTGCTCCTTGTTCTGTCATCTGCCACCACTTAAAACAGTCTAGCTCTATCCTCTTTGGAACCTCCCTTCAGGTAGTTGAAAGCTGTTATTTAGTGGTCTCTCAGTCTCCTCTTCTCTAGACTAAATAAGCCCAGGTCCCTCAGTCTTTCCTCCTAAGTCATAATTTCATAGTTGGTAGGGTCGGAAGGGACCTGAGCAGATCATCAAGTCCATCCCCCTGCCATGGCAGGAAAGAGTACCGGGGTCAAACGACCCTGGCAAGGTGTTCATCTAGCCTTCTCTTAAAGCCCCCCAGGGTAGGAGCCAGCACAACTTCTCTTGGAAGTTGGTTCCAGATCTAGCCACCCTGACTGTGAAGTAGTGCCCCTTGATAACTAGCCTGAATCTACCCTCTGCCAGCTTGTGACTGTTATTTCTTGTCACGCCTGGGAGTGCTCAGGGGAACAGGGACTCCCTCAATGCCTGCTGGTCCCCTCTGACTAGTTTGTAAATGGCCACTGGATCCCCCCTCAGCCTTCTTTTGTGGAGGCTGAACAGGTTCAGGTCCCTTAGCCTCTCCTCGTAGGGTCTGCCCTGCTGACCCCCGATCATGCGGATGGCCCTCCTCTGCACCCTCTCCAAGTTGTCCACATCCCTCCTGAAGTGCAGCACCTAGAACTGGATGCAGAACTCCAACTGTGGCTTGACCAGTGTCCCATAGAGGGGGAGGATCACCTTCTTGGACCTGCCTGAGATCCATCTGTGGATGCCTGACAAGGTATGGTTGGCCTTCCTGACTGCGTCCCCACACTGTCAGCCCATATTCATTTTGGCATCAATAATGACTCCAAGATCCTTTTCTACCTCTGCGTAACCTGTCTAGGTCCGATTGCAGCCTATTCCTCCCTTCTAATGTACCCACTTCTCCCCACATCTTAGTATCATCTGCGAATTTGAACAGGGTGCTTTTTACCCCCTCTTCCAAGTTGCTGGTGAAGATGTTGAACAGTGCGGGTCCGAGGACCAAGCCCTGCAGAACCCCACTGCCCACAGGCCTCTAGGTCGAAAATGACCCATCCACCACCAGTCTTTGGGTGCGGCCCTCCAGCCAATTAGTGACCCATTTGACTGTGTACGTGTCGACGCCACAGTCTCCTAGTTTTCTAATGAGCATGGGGTGAGAGACCGTGTCAAAGGCCTTCCTAAAGTTCAGAAAGACTACGTCCACTGCTACACCTGCATCTAAGGATTTTGTGACCTGGTCATAGAAGGCCACCACGTTGGTCTGACAGGACTTGCCTCTAATGAACCCATGTTGGTTGCCCCTAAGCATAATCTCCCTTGCTGGCCCCTCGCGGACATGCACCAGGATAATTCTCTCAAAGAGCTTACCCAGGATCGAGGTAAGACTGACTGGCCTATAGTTTCCTGGATCCTCCTTCCTCCCTTTTTTGAAAATGGGAACCACATTGGCCCTTTTCCAGTCCCCTGGCACCATGCCAGAGCACCATGAGTGCTTGTAAAGCCATGCTAGGAGTCCCGCGATGACCTCTGCTAATTCCCTCATAACTCTGGGGTGGAGATCGTAAGGACCTGCTGATTTAAATATGTCCAGTCCCTCCAGAAGTTCCCTGACTAGGTCCTCACTGACCCTAGGCCCCAGTCATATGCCCCAGCCCCCTCACCATTTTCACTGCCCCCCACTGGACTTCCCAATTTGTCCACATCCTTTCTGTACTGGGGGCCCCAAAACTGAACACAGTACTCCAGATGTACTTATAGGCTCAGCAGTGCTACGCTTGCTAGTACCACAGCTGAAACAGACTTGGGGGTCATGATTGACCACAACATGAACATGAGCCAACAATGCAATGTTGCAGCTGGTGAAGCAAACCAAACTCTGGCTTGCATTCATAGATGCTTCTCAAGTAAATCTCACAATGTCATCCTCTCGCTGTACTCGGCCTTGGTGAGGCGCAGCTGGAGTACTGCATCCAATTCTGGGCTCCGCAATTCAGGAAGGATGTCAAGAAGCTTGAGAGAGTCCAGAGGAGAACCACACACATGATCAGAGGGCAAGAGAATAGGCCTTATGAAGAGAGGCTGAGAGCCATGGGACTCTTCAGCTTGGAAAAGCGCAGGCTCAGGGGGGACCTGGTGGCTGCCTATAAGTGCATAAGGGTGTACATCAGGATCTGGGAGAATGTCTGTTCACTGGAGCACCCCCAAAAAAAATTAGGACCTGTGGTCGTAAATGCCTCCAAGGCTGTTTTAGGCTGGACATAAGAAAAAATGTCTTTACTTTCCGAGCCCCCAAGATCTAGAAGACTCCCTCCAGAAGTGGTGCAAGCACCTACTCTGGATTCATTCAATAAATGTTTGGATGTTTATCTTGCTGGGATCCTTTGACCGCAGCTGACTTCCTGCCCATGGGGCGGGGGGTTGGACTTGATGATCTTGATATTCTGCACTGGTCTGGTCCTGCAGAGAGCAAACCAGGAAAGCCAAGGCTGCAA